CCTGCCTCTGCCTCCTGAGTGCTGGGGTTAAAGGTGTGCGCCACCAACGCCCGGCTAAACTTCACATATTTTAGTTTTCCAGATTTTGAAATATTTACATAGACATTATGTGATGAGATGTCTTGGTAATGAGACCCATATAAGTGTTGGGAACCCAAATCTCCCTGGAAGGGCAGCCACTGCTCTTAAGTGCTGAGCCATCTCTCTAGCCCAGTTCACAAATTCTTAAGTTAAAATAATCTATATTTTCTTAGCAGATAATAGAATAAGTAATTACAATAGAAACAATCATAAAATGTGTGGTCTTAGTGAATGTGCTGATTGTGTGGGACATTCCGGGCATAGCAAAATTGGTTCCATTGTTTTCTAAAAGGCAGGTTAAACTTAAAAAGGCTGAGTACAGAGTATTAAATGTTCTCAAGGGGGGATTATTAACTTTGATGTGAGATCTGCCAGAAGTTCAGTTTTTTGGGGGTCAAATACAGGTAGGAGTAAGAGGAAAGAAAATAGAGTCAATACCTTCTCTCTCTTAAATAACAGTTCATTACCCACATCTGGTTCACTTTGTGAATGTTGTAGATTGACCTTTTCTTTTTTTTTTGTTTGTTTGTTTGTTTTTGTTTTTCAAGACACGGTTTCTTTGTATTGTTTTGGTGCCTGTCTTGGATCTTGCTCTGTAGACCAGACTGGCCTTGAACTCACAGAGATCCGCCTGCCTCTGCCTCCCAAGTGCTGGGACTAAAGGCATGCTCCACCAATTGACCTTTTCTTAAAGCAAAGTAACATAGGTTTATTTTTAAAAATTTAACTATTTATGTATATGTGTTTCTCTGTGTGCTGGTACCTGTGAAATCCAGAAGAGGGTGTAAGATCCTCTGGAGTTGGAGTTACAGGTGGTTGTGAACTGCCTGAATGCGTGCTGGGAACTAAACTCAGGTCCTCTGGAAGATCAGCAAGTGCTTTTAACCTCTGAGCCTTTGCTCCAGCCCTGAATGTAAATTTATTAAAGAACAGTGAGAAAGAACTCTGGAGAGTGGGAGTAGCTCCAAGTTACTTTTGTTGTTGTCTTTAATTATTTTATTTTTATGTGTATGAGTATTTTGTCTGCATGTATGTATGGGTAAGCAGTGCCCATAGGTGTGAGGAAAAGGTGTCATCCAGTCCCCTGAAACTGAGGGTACAGTTGGTTTTGAGCTGCCATGTGGGTGCTGAGAATCTAACTTGGGTCCTTGGGAAGATCCAGTCTTTTTCACTGCTGGGCCATCTCTCCAGCCCCTATTCTTTTCTCTTTAATTGTCCTTTTGTTTTGTTTGTTTGCCTGAGACAGGACTCATGTGTCTCAGGCTGGTCTTCAGCTTCTTATGTAACCTAACAATGCCTTTGAACTCAGCCTGCCTCTAACTTCTAAGTACTGGTATTACCGGTGTGTACCACCACACCTGACTTTTAGATTCATTTTCTTGTAATAATTCATATACTAGCAGTTTAGTAAGTCATCATTCTTCACAGGATCAGAGTGTTGTCAAGAGAAGCATTGTGTTTGGGAGAATACACTAATAATCTAATACTGCTTTGTTCTAGAATTCATAATCATTTTCTTAGGAATTGACTTATATTTTTACATAAATCTTTATAATGAGTAAGGTCTTGTTACAGACATGTTCTATGCTTATTTTGGTGTTTATTAAATAAATGATAGCATCAAATACATTAATTATAGTAATTCTTTTTGATTTAATGTAGCACCGCAGTAGCAGCTTTTTTTGCTCAGTGTGTAGGAAAGGCTTTGGTCCAGCAGAGTGCGCTGTTGACCTTTGTCAAAAGCTGAGGCCCAGGAACCTTTGGGCTTCTTCACCCCCTTTTCTTTTTCCTTTACCCCTGCCCCTCCTTTTTCCTCCCTTATTCCTTATGTCTCTGTCTTTCTCCTTAAAGGTGTCTCATGAGAAAAATGACCGATTTTCTCTGAAAGTTTTTTTGAAGTCATTTTGTCAGTTTTACTTTTATTTAAAATGACTAGTTAGCTGTATTGTAACTACATATATCTGGTATCTGATGATGATATTCATATGATGATGCTTATTGTGTGCTAGGACACTTCTCTAAGTAGTTTAGGAATGTTAATTCACTTTGAAAATACAGACTCATCTGAGTGAATTTTTATTGTCAAATTATGTTAATTTTTCTTTGTGCCTAGTTTCAAAATAAAGCAAAAGCATTTGACTTAGGTATTATATCATTCTTTAGGGGAGGGTATTGTTTCCCCTAATTCTACAGGAGAAAATTGAGGTGCAGCCCTAAGTAGTTTGTTCACCTCACAGAGTTGATGAGTAGAGGAGCTGGGCTAGAATGGTTAAATCCTCCAGAGTTGGAGTGGAAGGCGGTTCATTTTGTGCCGTCATAGGTCATACAGTGTGCAGTACTTCGTAAGTACTGCTTTAAGATAGTTGTCTGTTTTCTTCACAGTGTTTTCTAAAGTTTACCGTCACGTGCATGGTTATCTGCCTTGTTTGCCTCATTGGCAGGTTGTTCTTGAGAACAAGTACAATATCTCTTTTTCACATTTTTATGCCCAGCATCTAGCACAGAGCTTGTACTTAGTACTCACATATTTGTAGAATAAATTAATTTTTTTAAGGCCTAAGTTAAAGAAATGCATGATTCTCCATTATTTGTAGCTTATGACTTTTGGTCAGATCCACATACTTAAGGGGTGTAGTAGTATTAAAACAAAATACATTTCATTTTAGCTTTTATATATTAGCATACCCAAGGAAGATACCAAGCAATAAGTTTCAATAGTTAGGAAGTAAGTTGATAAGTAATATAAATTAAAAAGTTAGAAACAACTTTGCCTTCTGTATCTACTAGAAGAACAAGTTGTTAAATAATGTTATAACTAATTGAAACATAATATAGGGAACAAAATTTTAAAACCTTTGCCAGTCACTTACATATAGTAGCCTGATCTCTCAAGGAATTATGACATGCTAATAGCTTTTTTGGAATCTATACTTGTACCAAATAATTTATGTGTTCTTTGGTTTGATGTTAACCTCAGCACTGTGAAGGAAATAGAGCAGATGTTAATTTGTTAGTTGAGAAAGTGAAGGCCAAAGATACTGCATAAGGGGCTGGAGAAAAGGCTGAGGGGTTATGAGCACTTGCTGCTCTTGCAGAGTACCCAGGTTCAGCACCCACATTGGTGGCTCATAATTGACAGTCACTCCAGTTCAAGGGGCTCTCAGGCTCCCTGCTGGTCTTTGAGAGCACCCATACAACTGTGGTGAACATACATACACTCAGGCATATACACATAATTTTAAAAGATAATAGGTTTGACCATGCTCATACAGGTAAATTGTGAAATCATGATTAGGATCTAGGTCTAAAATATAGATTCATGGGTTTTAATAGAGAACAAAAGAAAGAAAAGGAAGAGGAAGTTTTTGTTGTTAGCTGGTGATTTAAAAAATGTGAGAGAAAATAGATTTTATTGTTTAATATGCCTGACATTAAAATGTCTTTAGCTAAGGTAGCTAAGGCCTATAATTTAACCATGCAAGAGGCTGAGTCAGTAGGATTATGAATTTATGGCCAACTGTGGGGCTCCATAGCTAGTTTGATGCCAGTCTGGTGAGACCCTCTGTATAATAAAATAGAAGAGAACAAAATAGAATCAACTGATCTTTAGTAGTTAGTCTGTGAATCAGAGAGAGATGGTTACAATGCCTGTGTGGCAGAGAATAACCTTGTTTTAGGAAAAAATTGTTTTATGTGTATGGGTGCTTTGTCTGCATGTATGTTTGTGTACTACATGTGCACGGTGCCTACAGAACCCAGAAGAGAGTGCCGGATCCCCAGGACTGAACTTACACGTGAGTGAGTGTGAGCTACCATGTGGTACTAGAGATTGAACCTGGGTCCTCTGGAAGAGCAACTAAT